ACGAGAATCGAGGCCAGTAATTTTGTCACAACTGGCGTTAGGCTAATACTCTTGTGGTTAGAACAGTCTGTGCGACTGCCCTACTTGTATATTGCCACTATAATCGATTCGTTCCAACCAGCCGGAACACTCTCTTCCTTCCAGATACATAGGAATACGGAGGTCAGTGCTTTGCAGAGGACCTCACCTCCATCCTTAAATAGTGCAGGTGGGAGGGAATCCGAGCCAGCGGCACAAAAACGATTAAGGGCTGTGATCGCGTTTCGGATCTCGGTGTCGGACTGAGTCTCTAAACTAACCGTCCATGGCTCATCCTGCATCACCTGTGTAGGAAGAGGTCCGGGAGCAATGGGCCAGCTGAACTGATCTTGAAAGCGTTCAGCCCAACAAGCCATACAGCGCTCCTCATTGTGTATCAGTGCACCCGCGCTGTCTCTGATTGTCTCAGTGACGCGTGGTTTCCTGGGACAAGTGGTTCGGATCAGCTGGAAGAGCTTGCGGTAATTGCCTACTGCTCCTGCCTCCTCCATTTCTTGAGCCCGAGTGGTCCACCAGGCTTCCTTGTCAGCACGCAGGCTCCGCTTTAGTTCGCGCCTAATAGCTCGTCTGGTTACATTGTGCTCAGATCCAGCCGGGAGGTTTCTTCTAGATTCCAACAGGTTCACCGACCTCTCGGATATCCCGTGACTGGTGCGGTGACCATTGATAGTGCCACAAGCAGATGCTTCTGCGTCGTGTATGGCGGCCGAGATCCTATTCCACTGAAACTCGGTGTGATCATAACAAGACAGTTCGGTATGTAGTGCGTCTTGACATGCTTGTCTGACCGAGGGCTGAGACGATATTTCAGTTGCCACGCGACCACAGTTGAGGAGGGTAGGGGGTTTGGGCAATTTTTGCGGAACCCATCTCGGTACATGTTTATTTAGTCGAGAAATCAGAGTCCCGTGGTTCTGCCTATGTGACTGGCTCAGTGTGTGAATTGGCCCTGATAAGGTGGACCTCCTTTGTCGGAGGGTTCGGCAAACTTCGGGTTCGGTTGATTACAACGACTTAAGCAGCGTAGCAACTTCCATGCATGGTCATTAGCGTGGTGAAATCACCTCGGGAAGGTAACTCGGTAGAAATCTTCTTTCGGGATACCATATGCACCAAATCTTTCGGCCCTCGTAGTTTGCTGTGTTTTTCGACAAGTTCTCAAGGATAGCCGTTCACCACAAGTGTTCCTGTAACTAACGCTAGCTCACCGGCCAGAGTCGGCCGAGAATATTCGTCTGACACAACTAACTAGGGTTATCACATGCGCCCAGTTGTATCGCATTGGCGTGAAGCTAGTGAAGTGCAATTACTGGCCGGACCAAGTTGATTTTCCATAAATGGGTCACTTAATTAACACATCCTCCCGCGACTGATGAGGATGCCCAGCTAGGGCAGACAGTTATTCGGTTCTACTTCGCATGTAACCCGTAAGTTGGCATTGCACGGTTAAGACTCTCTACTAACTGTGGGAGCTGCTGCTTTGACGAACAAAAAGTCAAAATGTCATCAGCATAGCGTCGGTAGTAGGGTATCTGGGCTATTTCTGTCGATATGCTTATTTCTATTATCAACATGAAGAAATCAGCAAGGACAGGGCTTAACGGACTACCCATTATTACGCCATCGATTGGGCGGTACGGTGTGTTCCGAAAATGGAAATCAACATTCGCCGTGCACAGTAACAATGAGTAGACAATTCAGTTGCAAGTTGGAATGAGCAACCAAAGTTTTCACTTAATTCACACACGCAAGCAACCGCTCTGACTTTGTCAGAGAGGTTGAGTTCATCCACGTCGCCAATGAGTTGAAATGAGTCTCTAAGACCATGCGGATTGAACTGTTGTTTCAGCGGAAAGAGCAAGTTGACTAGCCAGCGAGCCAATTTATGCTGTGACGCGTTCGCCATTGAAAGAATCGGCCTGATTGCCACTTCACTCCTATGGGTCTTCGTTGATCCATATAGCAGTGAAGTAGTGCTGCAATTGGGCCTCAAACTATTAAATGTGTCACGGTCTATCACGCAATGAAGAAAGATTCAAGGTGACGAACTATGCGCGTTTCGACATCGTTTATGTCCCCCACTTTCTTGAGTCGTACGAATTTACTCGCGTCGTTAAGTACGAGGCACATTTTCTGACTAAATTTCACCTTACTCACGATCACAATTCCGGAGCTGTTATCTGGTTTCATTATGGTTGCATAGTTAGCTCACAGTTAATGTAAGGCTTGGAAATGTCTAGCTGTGAAAGCACATTTTCACTAATTGGCGCCGTTTTAACCTCGTGGGTGTCATCGGCTAACTTGTTTCGGAACCAAATAAGATTGTCAGGAGTGATTGGCTGAATATCCTTAAACTATATATATATATATATATATATATATATATATATATATATATATATATATATATATATATATATATATATATATATATATATATATATATATATATATATATATATAGGTTGGCGGCATCCGGTTTCCGATTTGCCTGTCACTGTGGCAAGCCACAGGACGCCTGCGCCTACAGAGGGACCATGGATGGCTTACGCTGCACCACCCACAGCTCCAACCACACACCCCATATCCAGTGTAAACCCGAAGGAATAAGACCGGCAGGCATGCGGATGGGAGCCACGTCTCATCAACGGAGACGGCCCACACTCCTTCACAGGCAAACACAAGCACGCTGTATTTGGGGAATCAAGTGCACACAAGGCGGTGGCTGGACAGTAGTCCGCTCCACACTGAGTGCATGGAACCGCAACAGCTTATAAGGTAAACAATGAGCCATACGAAACCATGGAGATTTAAATAGGAACAAGAATATGTACAACGATAGCAAAAAGTGATGAGGAATCAATAAGAATTTTTTTTGCCTTTTTTCACACGCCGTATTTCAATATTTTCTTTAGATGAAGTTACTACCTTTGGAATCGGGAGTTCACGCAGATTTGCGTGCATTGTTTCCATTGCACCGGTTTTGTGCTATTGTTCCGAGTGTGGTTAGCCATCGGCATTCCTCATCTTTCAGTCCCCACCCGGGAAGGCGTACCGGACCAGCAAGTGAAAAACAGGATGTGAGGGATTTGGTGCTTTGACGCCAGGTGGTAGGCTGGCCACCATGCCGCCTCTTCCAATGCAGCCCTATAAGCACAAACAGGGCGCGGCGCTCGTCAGGCATGCGCAGGACATGGTCAAGCCATCTCAACTGGCGCAATAGAACAAGCTCATGAAGCGGGAGATTCGTTTTGCCAAGGACGAGTTGTCTGATATCATCATTACGCACCTGATGTTTCCACCACACATGGGGGATCCTCCGTAGACAGTCGTTGTCGAAAGCATACGCATGTCGTCCACTCGAATCGGCCAAGCTTCGCCTCCATACAAAAGTATGGAGCGAACACAAGCATTGTAACGCCTACCATTTAGCAAAAGCGAGATGTCGCAACGACTTCACACGTTCCAAATTAGCAAAAGCCGAGCGAGTTTTAGCGATACGGAGAAACACCTCTCCTCCAATGGTTCTGTCGGTAGAAATACTGCTCCCAAGGTAGAAAAAACTATCCACCTGTTCAAGCCAATGTTTTCGATGGCGAGCTGAGGAAGAGCAGTTTGCCAATCCGGTACCAGCACTTTGTACTGTGGACGCTTCAATCACCAGTCGGTCAAGGATCAGTTGCATCCTGTGAGGGTTGTTACCGAGCAAGACGATATCATCAGCGTAATCTAAGTCGGATGCACGAATACCTGGAAGAAGCTCAATTTCAAAATTCTGAATGCCATCTAGAGCTCTCAACAGGACATCTTCGATCGCGAAGTTGAAAAGAAATGGAGACATAGGGCATCCTTGTCGCACATCATTGGTAACAGGAAAGACTGCGAGGCTTGCCGTAGGTTCTTACTCTGCCTGAGGTGTAGATATAACGCCCAAAGAATAGTGATGTACTTTTCAGGGACTCCGTTCTTTAGTAGGCAATGCCATAAGGCAGGTCGGTCTACTGAGTCGAATGTAGCCCGAATGTTCAGGAAGACGACGATGGTGGGTCTGCGGTATATGTGGCGATGTTCAAGGAGCTGACGAAGGATGAAAATATGATCCACGCAACCTCTACCGAGACGGAGACCAGCCTGCCCATCCCGACAGTGCACCTCACGAGTTGGCGACAGCCTGCGCAACATGATGGATACCAGCAGCTTGGAGACAACTGGTACCAGGCTGGTTCCTCTATGATTGGCACATGAAGTCCGGGAGCCTTTCCTGAAGATCGGTACCATAACTGACCTTCCCCATGAAGTGGGGACTCATTCTTCACTGCAGATTTTCATACATAGGGATGTTAGCTGGGTTATGATTTTCGTATTACCATATTTGAAAAGTTCCGGAGGAAGCGCGTCTGAACCAGCAGCCTTAAAGCGCACTCCCTGGTAGTAAGACACAAAAGAAAACACAGGAGCCTAACTGTAGAGCAGGAAGTAAGCAGAACGCTGTGACGCGACCTCTCAGTAAATGAATATTGTGATTTCATAAGTACTTCTGGTACCCACCAGCCGTGGAGTTAAATCTAAAATTGCCATGGAAAACGACTTCATTGTAACCACAATTTTGGGCTGACAGAATATTCGCCCAACCTCTGAAGTTACTGATAACCTCGTGAGGCTCGAGGATAAACAGATAAACCAACTTTGTTGATGTAGTCTTTTCGGTAACCGGCTCAGTTGCACATGGGTTCCGATAGTCAAGTGGTGACCGCTAAAGGAGCGTTCTTCTGTACCACGGCTAACTATCCAAAGCTCTAGGTTGTTAGTGAATAGTCGACGCTAGGACAGTGATTAATATGGAATAGGGACCGTAGAGAATTCGGAAAATTAATGGGAAATAAAAAGCGCCAGACAAACCCCAAACAGCAACTGTTCACAACGGTCACATACAGTTGTGGTTGGATACAATTCAGACTTACTGGGGCCACGACCAGTGAAAGTGGTCGGTGATGAGGTTTTGCGAGCACCCGGATGACCTCGCTGCCAGAGAGTAGCATCTGGAAAGTACAACAGTGACGGGGGTGAGGAACTGGGGTAGAAGAGATTACTAGAGCAGTGCACGCTATGGGACGCAGGGTGTAACACCTCAGGCAAGAGGAAATGTGGCACATATACAGACAACCGAATCGATTCAGTAAGGTGCAGATGCACAACGAGTCATAATCAGCATGACCCATGGCATCATTTGAACGTAGAAAAACTGGGCAATTGGAGGGGCTCTAGTAAGTAGCTTTATACCCCAAACGACGAAGAAATCGGGTTAGTGCAAGGCGGCCAACTGTTGAGCGTCTGCTCTGCTTCAGAGCATAACAATAACTGTGCACGATCGACTCCACTGCTCCGGACGCGTAGGAGAGATGATGGCTCAGACCATCTATCCAGCAAAATGTACAACAATATTCCAACGGCAAGTGGAATCATGCAGATTATGAAGGACACCAGGTTTCTCAGCTTAGTGTGTAGATGGAGGGGAAACTTGAACTCGTGAGTAGAACCCTGCGTTGTTGGTCATCCCTTTTCGCTGCCAAACAAAGTACGGTTGGCTGGTTGGTCTCGTTATAACGAAATCCATTCGAGGAGGAGCAGGACGAGTGGCCGATTACATGGAGACGGAGTGGAACAACACAAACGCTGCTGGACCAGTTTACTGACCTGGCTGGAAAGGTTGCGGTTAGTCAAGCAAAATCAGAGCACCGAAAAGCATATACCCATGTTCCCCCGCGGGGGTTTTACTTCAGCCAACAGGGATACTGTATAGCAATACACGCATCTCCGTCTAGGTTGCTAATGGGAACAAAAATGTTATGAAGAGGAATTCACGTTTCAATAATTGTGGGTCGAAGAACTTGGTTTCATCACATGCCGTAGATCCAGGGGGCTACTATTAGAACAGGAGGGATGTACCGCCACAAAGTGCAGGGGATCGAAGTATCCAAACTAGTGTCGGCATAATGGAAAAACAGAAAAGATGGAAAAGCAAAGCGGAGAAATACAGAACGGAAATAAAAAACCATGGTCATCGGGTAGAAGATTTAGCGGGCAAAAGTGAGTTACACTGGTGTCCCACATTGAGAATGGAAACCGTTAAATGAAGTAAGTTGATACCTAGGGGACATAGATAGTTCGCCGCACAGAGACATTGAAAAAGCATCACAAAAACCGTATGCTGAAACGCACCAAGCACTCACCTGAACTAGACTGCCTGGACAGCTGGGAAACTGGGCCGCCACGACGTCGATAATTCACTCCAGACGAAGCGAACTCCGTTACCACTGGCCCTCCCTCTGGATGGCCGACCGCTTGCTTCCGGGGAAGAGAACCATTGAGGTTGTAATCGGGCGCTCTAGATGAAGGAAGACCACGATCAGTGTTGGCGCCGCCGGAAGAATGTGGGGTTGGTGATGGGGAAGTGGTTGCGGAGTCTTCGCTGGGGGAACAGTTTGCGGTCGAAGCGTTAGAGATGGGCGGGGGGATTCTCGATTGTACCAAAGTGGCGTGTGGACTATTCCGTTTGAACTGAGTCCACTCTAAAAAGGAAAGCAGTGATTATTGACAATGCGCACACGTTCGCCACTAAGTGGCTTAGGATAACGATTTAACGATTCGGTGAGTTTGCCAAATACGAAACATTAGCAATCGGGCAGGGTCTTACTACGCATCAGCTCTTGCAATTTTTTTAGTGAACCGGCGAAACCCCTGCAGTTAATGCTCCCCATAAGACAGCAAGAGATGAAGTGTAAATCAGTTCAAAAGTGTAGCTGGAGATTCACTCTTCATGGGTGCATAAAGCGCATCATTGAATTGACAACAGGTAAATTAGAAAGGTGCATCCAAAATAAATATATATGTGCGTCAGGACCATTCGTGTCATTTATGAACAGTGACCCGCGAATTGTGGTTAAATGCAGAGAAGGCGACTACGCTGGGCGAAATCCTCGTACTCTCGAGACAATAGTGGTAGTATCAAGAAAACAAGAGCAATCTACTAATTGCGCAATCTATTTACTCACCAGTGTGCTAGAATCGCCTCCCAAAAGTAGAGTTTTATTTCACGTAGGAATTTTCAAAATTGGAACACTAGGTCATATCAGTCAACAAGCATGCAACCAGACGTTCGGCAATCACTTAGGGCCACCGTAAATGTTGGAAACAAGCACGAGTGACTGTGAAACTGCAAGGGAACTCCAACTGCCCGGCCCAGATCCCGCCGGTGACGAGTGCATACTTGCACTTTGCTGGGTTGATCGAATTCATGATTTGAGACATATGAAGTGTTCGCCCATAACGGTCGTTGAAAACTAAGCACGCGAACGAGACCCGGCGGATAAGTGCAAGTGAGGGAATCCACTTCGTCCCGCCAAAGCTGACAACAAATGTGTGAGGACATCGTGTTTTAGTATTCTTTCGGCTTACAATCCCACCGGTTGTGAATCGGACGCCGTTGAAAAACTCAGCACTAGTGATAGCCTGCATCAACAGGTCTATGTCGACTTGAATCTCATGAACCACTCTTGTCGCGAGTAATAATTTGGTTGACCATTCATTTCTGCTTTGCGGTGCATTTGTTAATTGAGTGAAGAGAACAGATACTGTAGTCGTGCGTAATACGTCGAGATATTGGTAGTTAGAATTGGGTGCTGAGACGCTGGCTTGTTCATCGAGCTGTGCAATTAGCAGACGTTTCGCCATTGCGTAGCCGTAGTAGCAGTAAGAGTATCTCACATAGCACGTACAAAGCTTCGGGCAAATCCGTCCACTACATGCGGGAGCTAAGGCCTAGCTAAATTACGGGTTCTTCTCGGAAGAGGGAAATGAGGTTTTGACCCTGATCACTACGTATTTTCGTCTATTCGCTTACTAGCATCAAACCCTAGCCACCACCACCAGGGAAAGGTGTGTACTGCAGAAGCTCTTCGCTGCCCGCGGTTTCCCGTGTTGCATCGACGTTGTTTACGATCGCATACATTTTATAGTTATCCTGGTAGTAAGCGAGTGGTGAGTAGTTGTGGTCATGTGTGTTTACTTGACACAATACCAATGAGTTATGATCAAACTCCCGCACTAGAAAAGCTTGGCACATCGTCCATTAGATAAGAAAGCAATTTTGCATCTATCGGAGCGTCTGGTTGTTGACGTCCCTGAAATCGGCGGACATCACTGTTTACCAGATGCGAACGACATTTCGCGGACACATGACAATTTGATGACAAGTTGTACGTTGGCATTCTTGACGTGTCCTGACCTTTTCTTTAATTCACACCCTGTAACGCTAGCCAGAGTGCAGCGTTGCAGTTTACCAGTGACCGATAAACTAACTCCACGTCCTTTCTCTAGTGTCATCAAGGGTGAGAGAGCGGATAAGCACACAAAAAGTTGTCCGGTATTTCGATTACTTCGGTGTCATCACATTCTTATTAGGTGAATCGCTCCACGGCCCTCAAGGCAGTTTTGAGAGCCAGTGGTAGGTCAAATCAATCCTGTAAGCATTCATAATGCTTTGAAGGTGGGAAGCACTTGCTCAAACACGTCAGCTAATAGGCTAGCGTTTGTACAGCAGTCCGACCTGACCACACGAGAGCTATGTTCCCGTGCCTTAAGATTATTTAGCCGATAGGTGTTGATGGGGGCAAAAAAGACATCATCAATATACCATTGCTTCGTAATGATGCTTCGTCGCTACATGACCGTCGACAGTCGCGTGCAGGATCGAATCGGTGACGCATGGATTACAAACCAAATGACTTATCCCCTCGGGCACAAGCGAACGTAAATCGTTTAGGAGCACTTAAGTCGGGTGATTGAAAGAGAACGTGGAAAACCAACAAATTCCATCGTCAAGGTGAACTAGAGGTGGCCTTTCCCAAGGGATTTCCAGCCATAAGAGCCAGTGTAAAGGAAAGAAAAATAAGGCATTAGCAGTACGCCGGTACGCAGTACCGACGCTTCGTTGCCGCGCAACCACCACCGGTCACACGTGGGCTAAGGATATTGCGAGAGTCGCCCGAACCCCCCACACAGGTTCGAACTCGCGACCTCGAGTTGCAAGATAGATTTATAATCCTTAAGGCTACGGGTCAGCGAGAACCAAAAAGTACTGAGTGGAAAATAGAAGAGAATGCCGGATCTTTTCCAGTTAAGCCCCGCCACCCAAAAAAGATTATGAAAAGGGAGGAAATAGAACTTGAACTTTTACTCTCTATTGAAGAGGGTGAAATTGAGACAAGTCATTAGTAATTTGCATGGAAAGGTCCATTTTTCGGTGTCTTTGCCTCCAAACGAACTCACACAGGTAGCTGTCCATTAAAGATCGGTGTGTGCCGCATTGGCACTTATTCTGCATCATGTAAATGTGCCAGAGAGATTCGATGGTTTGTGTGTGAGCTCCAGTCGTTGGATCCACAAAGTTTTCGGTATGATTAACCATTTGATGAGTATAACTCATGCCAATCATCGATTCAATGCCTTGGTATGATGCTCACATATCGGAAATGATAATTGAGCCGGGAGCGATGCAGGCCTGGATTGTCCAGCAGAGTGGCCGCAGTTCGATCTGGCACTGCATACAAGAACACTTCTTTAGTCTCCCGGCAAATCCCTCCGAAAATCCACTGCTGGAGAAGGACTCGCCCTGCATGGTTTTTACGATGTGATATTACGGTTTCATCGATCTCGACATGTAGACCTGGGCCGCCGACAATCGTTGGAGTCTGCAAAAGCTCCCAGGCGCAAATTTCACGCAGAAAGTTTTCCAGTCGACAGCGGTCGCGTGGCCAATAGATAACTCCTCTGAGCAGAATTTGATGGTTGTCAGCTTTTTGGACCAGCAATAAATGAATAAGATTATTGTCTTGAAATCCATCCTGGACTGCTGCAGCCAAGTTCCCTTTCGAAGACCGATTTCTTGCCGACACTGTCGGGCATCACACCTCCACCTGTCAGAAACAGTTGAAAGTGTCATTTGCTGTCCTCGTCTGCATAAACGTTGATGATGAATCCCTCCATGGCTTTGCAAAAAACGTATTGCTGTTTCCTTGTCATGAACGACCGCCGAAAGCGTCAGAAAGTTCATGTCAGGTTTTACGTACGAAAGTAGAAACTTTTTGGACAAAAATGACCTTAGAAGCGGATAAGGAGTGTTTTTATGGGGCACCTTCACATGCATTACGTACACTGGAGCTGGCAAACAGTGGCGGGGCTCAACTTTTCACGCGTGCCTTTTTTGCACTATTGGTGGGGCTTGACTTTTCAGGTGTACCCTTTTTGCCTTAGTGGCGGGGCTTAACTTTTTGCGCGTGCCCTTTTTGCATTAGTGGCGGGGCTTAACTGGAAAAGATCCAGAATGCTTCTGAGCAACACAGCAAACGCTCCACAGTTCCAGTGATCGGAATGACCGACGCTTCACTAGAAATTACGTGTCGCAATTCGAACACTCAGTGTGTACTCCAGAACGCAACAGTGAATATCTCCGGCACACCCGTCCAAGGTCGATGACACCACAAGCAGGTGGGATCTGCGGAATCATGTTACTATTCAGGTATGTCAGATAACTGTGGTCTCCATGTCTCGCATCATCATGAGGAAAACATTAGCGTACAACGAGGAAAGTGAAGCTTCAGTAAAACACAAAGAAAAGGGACTCGCGAAAAAGGTGAGAAAATTAATTAGATTCGAATGTTAAGGGCTAGACGCAAGAAAATGAATGCGGCAGCATCAATGCGCTATGCTAGATAAAGTCTTCAGTCACTGATGTCAAGGAACGTAGTTTTCCAAGTTAGCCTGATAAACCGAGCCGATGGAGCAGCGCCAACTTAAAGAAAGTTCTCTCATCTCATTTTATTGATCAAACCTTTAGCCAAGCAATTATTCCGGCAAGATTAAACGAAAAGTTCACCCACCATCATTTTGACGATAAAACTAAAGGGAAAGAAAAGCAGAGCTGTCCCGATGCACCCCGCTTGTCGCATGAAACTCAAGAGATAGTTTCTTGTAGACCCCTGCCTACACCCGAAATCAGCAGTGGAAATATAAAAGAATAAGGAAGAGTTTCTATGGCGCACTCTTCAAGAGGAAGTAACAGCATAAGGCTTGCTCCAATGCACCCTTTTCACGCGTGCAAGACCTGGATGGAAGAGACCGCGTGGCCATTAGCCATCCATTTGGCGACAGCATATGAAATCGTTAACTTTACATCCTGCTGCCGTTGGATACACACGTTTGTCTGGTTGGGGACCAAAGGACGAGGAGCGCCGATGGCTTGAAACACTTCAGGATATGGCCCGCAATCGAAGTCAGTGGAAGATATCTGTATACACTTGTTTGGATTCAGCTGCCTAATGCTTGATAATCAAAAAAGAAAACAGCGTGCGATAAAGTAACAGAAACAGTTCTGTTCATGCGGCGCAATAGCTAGTGTGTCATGTTGATGTGGTGATTAAACCAGTGGCTTCCATGGTTCTTGTATGGCCATGTCTATTTGTTAGACGGTTTATAACGGGCTACTACTACTACTACAACTACTACTAACTAACTATCTAACTAACTAATTAACTAACTAACTAACTACTACTACTACTGCTGCTAAACAGCATAAGCTGGTGTAATCAAACGACGCGAAAGCGAACCCACATGGAGGTTGTCGTGTTTTGCCATTATCAACTCAATGACGAATGAATCGAATTGTTCGCTTTGAGCATACTGTTTACGTTTCTCGTCTGAACAGACTAACAAGAACGCTTCGCGATCATAAACTCAATGAGCAATTAGAAGCTATGGCCATGATTATGGAAAGAAGTAAAGGGTAACTCAAACGACACACGTGGAAGTGAAATGGTGTCTAGTCAAAAAGCGAACCAATTCTCATTGAGACAAACAAGATAGGGACCAGCAGTACGCTGGCACCTGGTACGGATACTTCAGTGACATGTAACCAAAGGCGCGGGCTGGAGTAATGCAGCAGCACGTAAACCTCTTCAGGAGCGGGGATTCGAACACTGTGAGTACGGGTCATGATGAGAGATAATTGAATGCAAGACAGCTCCATCGAACCTATTCCACTTCGCCAGCACATACACTCCCTAGAGCATCGCTGTAAAAATAAAAATAGTATACACCTTATTATCTTTGAGATTCGTCGCAGCCAGATAGCGCTGGATGGCCGTTTCGCCCCATTGGGCAACCGGGTAGTATCTCGCCCTCTGAGGGAACCATGGACATTGTTGTGTTGTGTTTTATTTTACTGTTTCTGTACTTTCGTTTGAATCCCATGGTTTCTGATGGCATTATGTCTGTTAACAGACTTTTGCAAATATATATATATATATATATATATATATATATTGGGACCCGACATCAGCGCACACCAGATGGGAACATTCATGACCTAACTTTTACGAGTCAGCGACTTATGCCACTGAGCCATGATTAATCGCCTTAGCAGCCTACATGCCACCTCGATTGGTGGTGGCTTGCAAAAGCAGTCGTAGTTTCGGGAGTCAACTCTATTCTATGCACGCACATAACATGCATGACGGTGGAGGATGAGCCACGCCATAGTGCAGCTTGATATCAGTCATGGTGGTCCGCCGCCGTCACCCACGGCTTAATGGCATAAACTGCTGACTGGCAAAAGTAAGAGCATGGGTTTGTGTTCGTCGGGGGCGAGTTATTGATGAGTCCCAATGGGGAGAGACAGCCGTCTATCGCTTTCCTGAATGTGTGGTAGCTGTCTGGCAGAGTCTATCTGCGACGACTATGCTCAAAAACAGTAAACTATCCTACTAATCATGAAGTACCTCACCAATAAATTCAGATTAACAATGACTAGACAAAACTGCTTCACACTGCGAGCAACTTACGGCCGAGCATAAAATCTTGCAGCTGATGTGTAGCTGTCTGAGCCCGGGATACCGGAGTCGGGGATGTATTCGTATATCCATGTGAGTTAGAATGAGCATAATGATGTGCGTGATAGGAGTGATGATGAGGATGCGGGTTGTGATGGTGATGAGACGAATGCTGATTGTAATAGTTGTAATGGGAGGGATGATTATGATGGCTTAGGTGACCAACCGAGACCCCAGTCAGTGGTCGGTGACCACCACCACCACCACCACCACCACCACCAGCAGCAGCGAAGGGATGAACGAAAGATTCACGAGCATAGTGTGAAGTGTTCGTGAAGTGTGAACTGGGAGGAAACGGTCGGTGAGAATGGTTTATGTTGGAGTCTTTGGCAAGACTACTGCTGACCGAGATGATAGTTTCCGGGCGAGGGGTTCGATAGTTGGCGGTGATAGTGGTAGAAGTCGGGGTGGACGGGGAGCAAGAGCCTGAGGGAATGGAGGCTGTCCCATCAAGGCTGAAGGGTGGCACAACTGCAGTGTCTTCACAATGCCCGTTTTGATCACGATTTTCATGTCCGGTTTTGGGAAGCATAGGGGGACTGGCTGACAGACCAGAAGGGGACTGCAGCATGCTGAAAAGGAGTGAGAGCTGGTCAGAATCGTACACAGCTGGAGTATTCGGGTTAATGAATTAAGTGGGTTTTGGTGAAAATGGAAGACATGCTTGCGAAGAATGGAGTTATGATTTGTAGCTCAAGTGATTTGCGTGAGCGCAAATGATGAATTCATCAGCGTTTTTTGCAGCACATTAAAACAAAGGCAGGAACTGAATGAGTTGAAATAAAACTATCATGACTATACAAGTTAGCTAGAGATTGAAAGCGTCACAGCTATTGTGACACAATACAAAAGAAAAAAATGCAACAGAAGCATACCAGCCGAGTCACAAGTAACGGATGGACTATTATGACACTACCGCATGTTTGTCCGGCATCTTCTATACTTTTGCTGTTTTCTGTACATACTGTCTTGCTTTACAGTTCACATACTCTGATTCCCAGAGCAGTAAAGTCTTATGAATCAGGCCTTCCTCTTCACTATCTTAAGTGACACACTCGTTCGCTACTCAGTTGTTTCATGGCATCGTTCCGGAGAGCTGACAGCCGGCTATTGTGATGTAAAAAAAATTGTATTCTGCTTAATAAATGAGATCGTGATTGGAGGAGGCTAAGCGGGAGGAGAGACAAAGAAACTCACAACACAAATGCCATTTAGGCCTGCTCCTAGCCATGTCAAAAAGTGCATCCACCCAAACGTGTTTATCGTCCTTTGGTACCCAAACAAGACCAAGTTCGAAGTAATGGTGTCCGAGAGAAAGTAAGGATTTCCCAGAAAATACATTATTTCAGCGACAATCGATTAGTAACGATTAGCGCATCGATTTCGAACGTCCTGGAATGTTCTAAGGCCAGCAGGTGACTAACTACCTATCTGAAGAGCAGGCAAATCTATGGGGAACAACTATTGGTGATTGACCTAATTATAGAAGTCGAAGGTCATGAGGCGACCTAGAAATATGACCATAGTCTGTCGCCTTTGTACAGCTCCTGTTTCACTGCGGTTAACACGTTATATCGGAATAGGTCGTTCTGATTTTTCCTTTGTTTGAGGTTGTGGTCGTGCGGAATAGACTAAGTGCAATTTTCGAAATTGCAGCAAGTGAAAAGATTTAACAAAGGGTCATCATTCCTCTTGACCAAGTCATCGCTTTTCCACCCCTTCTCTTCCTTAATTCACACCCACGGCGAGCAAATGACGCACACCGCAGAAGCCGGTTGGCTGGCATGCGCAACATTTGGCCCAAGCATCAGAGCCTGGTGTGTGATATAACGGTGCTGAACGGTTCTCTTCCTCTTCCTGCGCCATAAACAAGGCGTCGAACACGCTCATTACTTACGAGCTTCTCCCACCAGACATGAGCTAAGCTGCGAAGGTAGCAATGATCGGACGGAACCAGCCTCTTTTATATCCGCCGATCTAATGGATCAGGCTTCAACGTATAGCACGGTCGAACGTACGAGTGCACTGTACACACCACCTTTCAGGGAGAGTGATGTCGCGCCGGTGCTATAGGTAGCGAAGGTTAACAAACGCGAATCGTGTAACTTAGTCTTCAATTCCAATGGCGCTGATACAACTGCCTAGGTGGTTGCATTTTTGAACGACTTCCAGCTGATCCCCACCAAAGGACAGCGCAGCAGACCGTCTTTGCCAATCTTGGAGGAAAATTTGCACTCCGAGGGTGCAAAACATAGCCCGAAACAGCTGACAGCCAGTGTTAATCTGTCAAGCGCCGCATGGCACGTCTGTGAGCTATCACATATGAGGGCAATATCGTCAGTATATTCCAAGTCAAGAAGTCACTCAGGAGGAAGAAACTCCGCAACTTTAAGTTGTATCCTGTGAACGCAATCTCCATGACATAGTTAATAAGAAAATTAAAGGAGAAAGGTGACAGCGGGCAACGTCGTCGTATACTGCTAGAGATATTGAAGGGCGGCGACAGTTTGCCGTAAATCCTCACTGCCCGAACCATTCGCGTAAAGCGCTTTGATAATATTTGAGTATTTATCGGGCACACCTTTTCTCAGCAGACAGTCCCAAAAGCCACATCGATCAACTGAATCGAAGGCACCTTTGGTGTTGAGAAACACGACTACGGTGGGTCGCCAATAAGCATGGCGGTGCTCCAACAATTGACGCAAAGTAAAAATGTGGTCGATGCAGCCCTGACCTCGACGGCTTGGTCTTCGCAGATCTGGCCTTCACGAGCGCCAGTCAGTCGGTGGAGAACGATACACAAGAAATTTAGAGGCAATTGTGATCAGGCAGATCTGTCTACGATTGCTGCATTCCGAACACGAGCCCCCTTTGAAGATCAGCACAATAACAGAGTAGCTCCAGTCTGTCGGGACAGTTTCGCGCTCCCAAAGTTTTACTAGCAACTCGTGTAAACCGTCTACAAGAGCAGGTCACCCGAATTTGAAGAGGGCTGGGGTAATTCTATCTGTCCATGCGGCCCTATGCAATTTCAACAATCTGATTTCACATTCGACTTTGCGCGTGAGGGCGATCTAAGGAGACGGCCCATGGGGAAGGGCATTCAATGCCCGAAAAAGAAAGCGATGACTGAAATTGGTTAAACGGCCTTTCAAAGTGTTCGGCCCAGCGCTCCAAGCGTTTTGAATAGCTGTGGATCGGTTGTCCATTGTTGTCGCGCATCGTCTCGCTAACACTAGGTCTCCTGCTTCCGGTTTCCCGTACCAGACGGAATAACGTACAATGATTACCAACGGCAGCGGCTGTTCCCATTTCCGATGAGACCACCAAGCCTCGCGGTTTCTCTTCAGACTAGCACGCAGTTCTGCTCTGAGATTTCTGCGATTCTCATTATATTTGCTTCCAGCCGGAATACGTCGGCAAGCATCCTTAAGTTCCAGAGACTGGAGTGGCCCACTCTTTAGATTGGCAATTTAATTTACCACATGAAGACATACCTTGCTGACAGTAACGTCTGGCGGATGTGCAACCAGTGATCTTTGACGGTGTTCAGTGGGCGCTTACTCAGCCCGGATGTCAGCGTAGTTTGATACGCACTCAGAACACCTGGCTTCGCCAGTTAGGTGGTGTCAATGCGCTCAGAGCGACGTTACGGACGTCCGCCAAAATGTACCCGAAAGTCGGCGCAAACAAAAGCGTGATCGGAGTCCATACTCATGATCAAAATCGAGCGACAGTTTTGGACACAGGCACTTCAGTGGTAACTTATCGCGATGTGATCGATTTGAGTCCACCGCTGATGGGCGCCAAGTCACTCTTCTGCGGGTGCTAGGTCGAGTTAGTGCTCGCGAGAAAGAGACGAGCATCTTCACACAGGTGTAGTAGCCCCTCATTGTTATCGTTACGGGAGTCTACACCATGTTGACCGTCCAGATGAAGCTCATCAGTGGACAACTTTCCGACTTGGGCGTTTAGATCACCAGCAAGCACCACAGTATCCGTGCTTCTTCTGTAACGAAGATCGATAAGTTGGTGATAGAAATCATGTTTCCCTGAACCACGGCGGCAGTTTATGGGGTCGTAAGCCGCAAGGACAAGGTACCGTTTGTCCCCGCGCGACCTCGAAATCTGGAACGAGCCAGTTAACCTAACTGCGCACATCCGGCTGTTGACTGGGATCCAGTCGATCAGGGCAGCTCCAGCCCAGGGACTCGGAACAATGCCGACGCCAGATAGACTAGCATTCGAAGTTGCGTCATCGTCAGACAGGCGCAGTGAGAATGTGCCGCCAGTGTCGCATGTGGGGGATTGCAGGGTAAGCACGAAGCTTGAATCTTGCAGGCGGGTTTCCGATAAACAACAGGTATCAATCGATAGGATTTTGAGTGTTCGGGCAAATGCCGCCTGTTGGTCAATATGTAGCAAAGTGCACACCTTGAGGCATGCCAGTCTTAGCGAGGATCGAGGACTCCAAAGGGAATCGGATGAACTGACGTTGTCCGCTTGATTGAACATTGAATGGCCAACTAGATTGAAGCAACGCCCTGCAATTGTGTGTGAGTAGAAACTAGCAGCCAAGCGACTAATGAAGCAAAGTGAACAAGGGGAAAAAATTGGGGGAATGAAAACGGGGGTGGGGGTAGAAGTGAAGTTGGGGCGGGATGCTAAGAATAAAAAAAGCGCAAGAAGCGGGAAGGCCTGATCAGTAGCATCCAAACCCCCTATCCACCCTGTTCGATGCAGCCTCTGCGGCCGCCAGAGCATCAAGAGATTATTAGAATAATAAGTCATGACGCCTCTTTCACCACGAGGATTGATGGCTGTAGCAAAAGGATACCAAATAAGTTAACGAGTGAAGTGCAAGATGTCAGTAGGACTAACGGTGCACACGAGGGAAAAGGGATGTAATGTAATCTCAACAGCCGAGCAACTAGACATAGAGCCAACAAAGCCATGGAGATTAGCAAATAAGGGGAAATCGCTGCGTCATAATCACCGTGGCATGGTAGTTGAAGGTGACCAACACACTTCAGCTAATATGTCGCACGAAGAATGGAACGTTTTGACAAAAAGTAGAACAAAACATTTTAGTTTGTTTTACACACGCCGTTTTTCTCTCTTTTAGTCCTTTTCAATGTCGGTAGTATTAAACATATGAATCAACACAATACTGTACACAATACTTCCACTGATTCCGGTTGCGGGCCATGTCTTCAAGAGTGTTAAGCCATTGACACTCCACATCTTTGGTTCCCCATCTTGGAAGACGTACGGATCCAACAGTGGTTAGACACGACGTCAGCAATTTCACGTGCTGTCGCCAAGTGGAAGGCTGACCACCATGCGGTCGCCTCCAGCCAGGTCCTTGACGAGCGAATAGAGCGCGACGCGGTAGACGCTCAGGTGCCATGCGCAGGACGTGACTGAGCCATTTTAACTGGCGCAATAAAACCAGTTTGTTGAATGGAATACTTGCATTCCCCAAGATGTGACATCGAACGTCATTACTATTAACTCGATGTTGCCACCAAACAGGAGCGATCCTCCTTAAGCAACCGTTATCAAAAGCAG